ACATTCATGAACAATCACAACACATAGAAATAAATCATTCCAAGCACCAAATTATAAAATAAGAAGTTTCATTCAACACAACCAAATGGGAGGCATGCTGCTACTTTTCTTGTGTTGTTGAATGCAGAAAGTGTCCAAATTTTTAGGTTCATGGGAAGCTAAAATCTATAGCAGAGAAGCCGAGTCTCACTGAAAGGGTAAGGGACCTGGGCCCCAATGGCAAATGGAATTGAAATTGCAAGGGTGAGGGCCGAAATGGACAGGGTTCTGAATTGGGCCGGACTGCCTTTGTATTGAATGGGTATAACGGGTACCCATATTATCCAAACGGGTATTCGCGGGTAACCCGCGGGTACCCATATTAGGAATGTACAATCCCAAGTCCCATCCGTTTATAATATTATGGATAATATGGGTACTCGTAACCCTTAAAAAACGGGACGGATACGGGTATACCCAAATACCCATTTCCCGTTGCCCACCCCTACCTGCCCATTGCTATTCCTACTTCCAAGTTATCCTCCAGTTCAATCTTCAACAAAGTAGTACCTTTTCGGACTCGGCTGTTGAAATTGAAATTTTTTCCTGGCAACGCAGAGAGGGTTGGGACTTGGATGATTAGTGTGATTAATTAGTCTTGATTAGTGACATGTAGTCCAAAAGCAAAGTGTATGATTTGCCAATTAAGCAGGAGAGAGGAGAAATAATACAGTACTACAGGTGTCGATATATAGGATTTGGGACAGAAGAAGAAGCAACGGCGGAAACTGCGGGGGGTGGCAGTTGGCAAAGGTGGCATCCAACGTTGTAAATTGTAATGACCGAATGGAACATGGCATCCAGTTTTTCCTGTTTTGTCGTCGCCGTCGGTCCATATAGTTTTATTAAACTATATATTCCTAGGATCATCATCAGTCACAAAATTCGACATTTGGCCTATAAACTGGCGGCTCACTAACTAAACCAAATAGCAAGCAAGCAAGCAAGAGAGTCCGATCCCAGCCAAGTTAAGGATTGCTCACAAGTTGGTTAGGTTAGGTCAGGTTGGGTGGGAAAACAACGTTGGCAAATGGCAATGGCAAAGGCAAACGAAGGAAAAGAAGATTATCGTCACTCATCGTTTTTATCTGCTTGTTTGTTTGTGTGTTTTACGTTGCCAAGCAAGTTGGCAGCTTTACAGCTAGCTAGAATCCTTATTAATCAGGTTCTTTTAGTCTCTAGCTACCTTTAGTTCTCGGGGACAGTTCTGCTCGTAGACTTTCTAGGGTTTACAGAGTCATGATGTGAAGATGGGAGAGAGTTGGGATGGATGCTTTTCGTGTAATATCTCAAATATTTCTCCAACCATTTTGATATATCCCACGCGCTTTTGATTTTGTATGCATATCATAATGACTTCTCAAGAAGTCGTGTATCGTTCTATTGCTTCATAGTGAACACATTTAACTTCACGATTCATACAGAAAACTTCTATATTTCACTTCAAAATGCATCTTGTATCAGTTAAGATAAGATTAGATGTTCCTCTCTCCATGTATGTACTCTATTCTTTCATAGAATTCAAGAGTAATTTAATAAGTAGATGAAAAGTTTGTATTATGACAATGAACTGCAACGATCTATCGTAGTTGTATCCTGCGTAAGTGTAATTTAATCCTTTTATCCTTAATTACCTGCAATCTCCAACTTAACTTCCAAGCAACGTTTACGTTGGCATACTTGGATTGGATCCTATCTATCTGCCTTGTAGTAATTCCCAACTTGACTTGTTGCATGATAAAATTCTTAACCTGAGAAATCTGTCTTTCCTAACTCCTAAATGTTTCCGAACAATAATTATGTCTTCAACATAGGCCATCAGCCCATCAATATTCAATAACAATCAACTTGTGCGAATACTTCACCATCATTATTCAAATGTCTTGAGATGGAAATTAATGACCCAAAACGATAATAAAAAAAAATATTGAAGACAAGCCGAAAGTACGTAGTGCAGAAGCCCAATTACAAAATTGATTGCAACTACGCTTGGTACTCCGTGTATAACCAAACTATCGAAAATGACTCGACCAAAAAACAAAGCGGAAAAGATCCATTTTAAATATTTAATCCCTTCTCTTCCGGCAAACACACATGGTTGGCTAATCTTAACTTCTCTAGATTTTACCGTGAAAAGGGAAGAAAAATAGATGAGGACTGGACAAACCCTACCAGACTACCAGTCCTCCTGCTACATCTAGACCAGATGTGGGCCGGACTTCTATCACCCTAATTCAACAATCGTACTATCATCTCCGGGACAACGGCAACAGGCCCGGAGGCAAACACCATGGGCCCAGTCCAGACGACAGCAAGATCCGATCAAATCGGAACTGGGCCCACGCACGCCTCACTCGTAATTATCCACTACTCTCGGCGCAGGGAAACATTACTCCAAATCAGATCCAACGGTAGTAATTTATGATCGGCCCCTCACAAATAAGCATAGTTTGAATGTTACAATACATAATTATAATAATTAGTAGTTTGGATAAATCCATTGAAAAACGAAATAATTTGACCAATTGTCTTATTTTACAATGAGTCATTTAAAATGAGTCAATTCGAATTGTCTACCCCACCCCAGACTATTGTAATTGGCTCAAAACTAGTCGATTTGAAATTCCTCGCACAGAATTGTTTCATTTAAATTTCATGCTAGATTTTAGGGTAAATACAATTTAATATCCAAACCTTTCATTTTAAACAATATAATAGCCAAACCTTTTCGAAAACAATATAATATCCAAATCGTCAACTTTCCGTTCGTTTGACCGTTAGTTGACACTTCAAAAAAGTTCGAAGTACGACGCTTCATCAATATCCATCGATATATTCTCTGAAAAACCACCAACATATCGTGGTTCCAAACACGAGAAGTCCATGACTCCACCATGATGGTATAGAATATCTAAATATTCAGTCATCTCCAATGCCAAAACAAGAAAACAAAGTTGTATTGTGACAATTTCCCCTAAACAAAGCTTTTTTGAAGTGTCAACCAACGGTCAAACGGACGAAAAGTTGACAATTTGGATATTAGATTGTTTTCGAAAAGGTTTGGTTATTATATTGTTTAAAATGAAAGGTTTGGATATTAAATTGTATTTACCCTAGATTTTATGTTGTCAAATGGATCAATTTAGCCAAATTATCTTAAAACGAAACAATTGAGTCAAATTGATCAGTTAAAATTACTCATCCAAACGACCCCTAAGTCATACGACGGAATTCTTATTCAACTGCCACTTGCCAAGCACGCAAAGTTTAATTTAGCTCATAGAACTACGGATGAATATACAAATCCTCATACAACTTATGAGAGCCTTGATTCATTAAGGTATTGCCAACCCTTTTCATTCTTTGAGGAGGTGGATATGATTTATATAGGTTACATTTATCCAACTATGAAGGCACATTGAAGTGGAAGAGCCAAGAAATCACAAACGCAAACACCATACAAGCCAGGAGGAAGTTGAGGAACCGATGCCCCTGCCAGAAATGTCTACCTGCGTCTGCTGCCGGCTGCCCTGCTGCTGCTGCTGCCGATGCCGCCACCGCATCAATGCCCTCATTCCATTGCTCCACCACCGTCTCCTCCTCCGTCGCTCCGGCCACGTTCCGTGCTACCGATCCACATATCTCGCAGGTTCTGCAGTAACACAAAGAACCAAATTAGCAAGCAGATCTCACTTCACAACTTAAGGCTCTTTGGGTACTCCTGCAGTTAGATCTGATATTCAAGCACAAATTGAAATTGCAGCACACTTTCTTTTTAATCGCCATAAACCCAAGAACTTACTAGTAAAAGAAATGACAATTTTGTGACAGGTGATCGGAAAGCACATTCCTTTAACACCAAGGATGCAACTACTGGTCAAATTGAATCTATTTGGAGCAAAACCCACAAACCCAAAAGCCAGCCACAAAATTGGGCAAAGTGCTAAAAGGGGTAATTGAAAGTAATAAAGTGGGAGCATGAATATTGCATACTTGTTACCCTTGATCTTGAACCAAGCCTCAGCGCAATGCTTGTGTGCAGCAGCCAAATCGTCTTTACAAGAGCAACCAAGGTCAATCGGGAAGCCAGAGTCCTCTTCCCCTGCATCCAAACCCAGATGACAAATCCGGCAATCCCTCTCCTCCACATTATCACCCAAATGCAGCTGCTTCCCCTCATCATCAATCTCAATCCCAAGCTCCAGATCCACATCCTCCGATGACGAAGATGAAGTTCCCCTCCTCCTACCCGCCTTCACAATCCCATCTCCAGAGTCCCTGCTGCAGCTCTTCTCCTGCTCTGTTTCTTCTTCTTCTTCATCTTCCTCCTCGCCGAGAGAATGGTCGCCGCCACTGTTTTCTGTTTGTTGCTGTGGTTGCGGTGGTTCATCGTCGGTGGATGCAATCAGGGGTTTGTGGGAACTGGAAGCAGCATCCATTGGAAGAAGAGTGGGATGGGCGAGACTTCATGCATTGAGGAGAGGGGAAAGGAAGAGGGGGGAGATCATAAATCAATGCTCCCCTCTTCTTCTTCTCAGAGCACAGAGAGTTGGTTGTTGTTCTTATAGATGAAACTTAAAAGAAAAATGGGTGAAGTGAAAAGATACTAAGTTATTATTTTCCTCCCTCTGCTACTGTACAGAGACCTTCTCTTTACTCTTTCTCTCAATCTGTGTCAGTGAAGACTGCAGAAAGAGCAGAACTTGGCAGCGGAGGAAGGGAAACGGGGAGAAAGAGATTCGTGAAATGAGAGCCGAATAGTTAATTACAGCGACAAGGAGTGAGGGAAAGAAAATGATATGAGAAATGGAGGTGTTTGTTTTCTGGGTTAAATGCACCGGGTGTCATTTAACTATTGTTAATGTTGCACTTTCACCACTTAAACAAATTTTGTTGCAACTAAAGCATACAAGTCGTATTTCGGTTGCAACGTCACAATTTCCGTCCAAACAACTAACAGTAAGTACTAAAATGGTAATTTTCTGTGACACGTTGGCATTCTATATCAGCACAACTGCTGAGTCACACCACATCAAACCTTGGACCCATCAACATGCAAAGAAAGAGGAGGGAGTCGAAATCTTTCTCCAGCTGCTTGTTCTTGGACAGAGCCCGATAATTTTGGAAGCAATTACTTACGTCCCCTTCTCCTGTAAGGAATAACTCTAACACAACTCAAAATATGGAGAAGGAATGTAGACGGTGGCATACCTGATCTAGCAATGTGAATTGTTGCAGCACCGTCCACCATATGAGGATGGAAATTAAACAAACATGACTGGCATGATCCAAATGTGGAGTAAGATTCTTGATTTCTTGCTTGCTATCCCTTTCAAAAGAACACTATACTGCCGCCACCAAGTGATTGTCCAATGATCTGAAAGAAGAATAGAACACTATATACATAAGCTCTGCAATTGCTTTCCAGACAATAAGTTAAATAGTTAATTACTGAACCTGCTAAAAGCTTGTGGATCAATTGGTTGTTCTTACATGTCATTGAAGGTCCTGACAATGATAATAGAGCTTGATCTTGAGCAGCCAGTGGATTTAGCTTTAAAAATCAAGCCTACACAATGATATAAGAAATTGGTTGCTGAGTTGTGACCTTCTAAGAGGTCATGTCTTGAGCTGGAGACTACTCCTGTCATTGGTATGTTGTTGCTGGCCAGCTGCAAATGGTGATCTTGAGATACTGATGTTGACCATCTTCGACCTCCTTGCTCATGATTTCCTCCGCAACTGCTCACCTGTCTCTAAAAATTACCCACCCAATGGAAGCACCATCTCAGACCGTCCCCTTCTGATATTGGTAGCGGTAAGTAATTGGTAGCGGGAGAAGAAACAGAATGCCCAAAATCTCTCTTTGTCTCGAATCATATATGGCGAGCGACACAGTATCCGGAGGCATCATTGATTTTGGCCTCTTCTCTTGCGACCCTCTCCGGACTCCTCCCCCTTGCGTCTATTTCCCCGGTGATTTCGCCGTTATGTCTGCTAAACCTCTGTTTCAATTTCATACTCGATTTTCTATTAATGGAATAATTTCTTTTTGTTCTTGTGATGGATTTTGACAATGTTGGGGGTAGAGACGTCGTGGACGGAGGAAGTTTCTTCCACTCTCTGATGAAAGAAGAGCTCTGCGACAAGGATTTCGAACTGGGTTCCAGCGCTAGAGGGAAAAAACGGCGGCTGACCATCAGTCAAGTTCAGTCCCTGGAAAGAAGCTATGAGATGAGAACAAGCGGAAACCTGGAGGAAAGTCCAGATTACCAAGGAGCTCGGCTTGAAGCCTCGCCAGGTCGCCATTTGCTTCCGAAATTGCCGGGCTCTGTCTAAGAAAAAGCAGCTGGAGAAACATTTCGACTCCCTCCTGCTTCTTTGCATGTTGGTGGGCTCAGGGTTCAATGTGGCGTGACTCAACAGCTGTGCTGATATACAATGCCAGCGTGTCATGGAAAATTACCATTTCAGTACTTACCGTTAGTTGTTTGGACGGAAATGGTGATGTTGCAACCGAAATATGACTTATATACTTTAGTGGCAACAAAATTTATTTAAGTGGTGAGCTTGCAACATTAGCAATAGTTAAATGGCACCCGGTGCATTTAACCCTTTGTTTTCTTCTTGTATCGTGACTAGTTTTATTTATCTTTTGATTTAGGGGAATTCTGGAGGTTGATTGAACTGAGCTGTTACTTACAGCAGGATCAGATGCATGTTTCATGTGGTCTTAATTACATAAAGATATATACACATACATACTTCCAAAATTTCAAAAAGTGGAGTACACAAAAAAACCTGTTTTAGAAAGTCTGTGCGCGATGCATTCGGATTGTGCATTGATGGTGTCGAAGTGGTGAAAAACGAAATCCTGATGAAAACAGAAGACGGGAGAGGGAGAGCATGTAACACCTTCGCGACCCTCTAACTAGCTTGCTTTCAAGAGCATCGGTCGAAAGAAGGTAACCCGACAATACCACATATGAGATGTTAATGCTGGTCGCATGTCGCAAAATGGTATGGACATCTACAAAACGTGTATCCGACTTGATAAAAACCAACAATAAACTGATAACACGACACCGATTTACGTGGTATCCTTGTTCAGAAGAACGAGACTAATCCACGGAAAGCTCACACAAGGAGCTTTCAGTTCCTTTTATTAGGGTTTTTGATACTTGCACACACGCAGCTCGGCTCCTACAAGAACATATATATATATATAATCCTACGTCACAATCTCCTAGGGTTACTCGGCCGACTACTAGGGCCAAACATAATTACCAATCACCACACAAACTAAACAAAACGCACACCGCCAAGGACGACGTCGTACTAGGCATGCATGCATACGTCCGACAACACTCCCCCTCAAGCGAAGGAGTGAATGTCATAAAGTCCGACCTTGTTACGGAGGACACCGAACTGCTCAGCTCCCAACCCCTTGGTAAAAACATCAACTGTATGCTCGTCCGTATGGATCTTCTGCGGCTCAACTTCACCTGAGGTAATGCGCTCACGAACGAAGTGGCAGTCCATTTCCACGTGCTTCGTCCTTTCGTGAAAAACCGGATTGGCAGCTATGTGCAGGGCTGCCTGGTTATCACAGTGTAAAGGAGTTGGCTGTGAAAGAGACACCCCAAGCTCGCGGAGTAACCACCGCAACCAAACTATCTCACTGACCGTAACTGCCATCGCTCGATACTCGGCTTCTGCTGATGACCTGGCCACAACCTGTTGCTTCTTGGTTCTCCAAGATACCGGGCTATCACCCAAACGAACAAAGTAACCTGTAGTAGACTGACGAGTACGTAGACATCCACCCCAATCAGCGTCGCAGTTGATAGACCGTTATTTACACATGTTTTTACCCTCGTTCTTACACCGTTTGAGGTGTTGATTCTCGTGTTTTAGGCCGATTTCACGCTAGGTTGTGCTTGTTTGTGATATTTCAGGTCCTAGTACGTGAATGGAGGCTTGGGAGCGAGTCTGGGGTCGATTGGATGAAGATCGGACGAATTTCGAGATTTCAAGGAAGCTGCACGGGCAGACCATGGCATCGCACGACCGTGCGAAGTACAAGCCAGGCCGTGCGGGATTATGCGAGAGCACGCACGGGCAAACCATGAAACTCACACGGCCGTGCCATTGAGCGCCCTGGCCGTGTGGTTTTTGCCGAGGCCGAGCACGGGCTGGATGGAAACCCTACACGGCCGTGCACCCTGGCCGTGTGAGAAGCCTAAGATCGAACTAAACCATACGCCGCGGTTTGAGCCGCACGGCCAAAGTGGTGATCTGCACGGCCGTGCGGCATGGCCGTGCGAGTCGGGAAATCCTTGTTTTAGAACCTATTCCGAGCCAAAAGGGGGAGAGTCGAGTTTTCAGAGCAAAAACAGAGCCCTAGAGAGAGAAAGTGCGAAGAACACATCCTAGAAGCTATCTCAGAGCTGGGTTTCATCGAATCGAGCTTGGAGATCGTCATAGGAGTGGAAATCATTGTCCCGGAGCAGATTTTCCTCATCGTTATGAGCATGACTAATCCGATTACTGTTTTCTCTTCTCTCTCTATGGAGTAGAACCCTTCTCTCACTTGGGTATGAAGAACCCTAGTTCCTGGTGTTAGGGATTTGATTGTAATGACTTGGGATGATATTACTGTTTGATTTTAATCGAATGATGCATGTTTATTGAATTGATTGGAGTCTGATCAGCTTTTCTCGATTTCTGCTGCAACCTGAGATAGATAGAATCTGATTAGGTTGTTAGAGTCTCTTCATTCGATAGTAGGAGATTGGCTATACGAGAGTTAGCCAGTTTACTGCTTTGTACTGGAATTCAAATCCAGTAGTGGAGTTCTGTGTTCATAGCCTCAGCTTTCTATCCCGGTGAAGACTAGTCGTCTGCCGGGTAGCTAGACTGAGAGGGCTTGGTCAGCTTAAGAGATTCCAAGCTACTGTCGGAGCTTCCGCAGTCTAATCAACAGTAAATCAACCCAGGGGAATTACAATTAAACCTAACTAAGGGGCTAGCAGGACTCAATCCCGAGTGACTCTTTCCTGAATTTGAAAACCGAACAATTTACTGCTTTCTTACTGCTTTAGCTTTAACAACAATCACTCGAACTAGTTTGCTAGATAATAGAGAATCACGGAGTAAGCAGTAGATCTAGACCCCGGGTTGATAATATAACTTGCCTGTTACTGCATTCCCGGACTGCGATTACACTTGGTCGCAGTTTGGTGTTGTGTTTTGGCGTGTCAAGTTTTTGGCGCCGTTGCCGGGGACCCTCTAGGTTATTGGGGAAACGTGAGAATTTGTTACTCTAGCTTTTTTTTCTTTTTCTTTTCCACCCTTGCTTTTCACTTGGGTGTTATGTTTTTGTTGGTGCAGCTCTGAAACATGGATCATTATGGCTTCTCCAACCATTGGGGGTATCAACCACCATCCGTGTGGTATTACCCCGAGACTTCCTGGAGCAATCAAGGAGGAGAAGACTATGGATTCGGATGTCAGTACCAACCCCCCTACTATGGAGAACAACCAAACCCTTGGGAACCTGAAGAACAATATCCTTTTCAAGAAGAGTTCCTGCCACAACCAGAGGGGCCATCCGAGTTGGAGTTAGGCACAGAGGCCTTCGCGGGCCACTCTGCAGAGCCATGCTACACTTCACTGGAAGATCCGAACAAACAATTAAGGCTTCTCGTGGAGCAGTTTGCTCGAGACACTGAGAGAGCATGCTCCAAGATGGATCTTCAAATCCAAGCCCTTGCCTCGTCCGATCCCTCATTTCTCCATGACATGGAGCAGATTGTTCAGTGCTCAGCGAAGCAAACAGAGTGGGTGAAGCAAGTTTGCTCACATCCTGCTCGAGATCACCATTCTGCTACTACGCTAGAAGAGGTGGAGAATGACAAGGGCAACGGGGGCGTTGAGGAGCATACAGGAGTTATCACAGAGAACTTCCATGATAATCATGATCAGGAAAGTCCTCTGGTTGCAGATCACACCGTTCCTCATTTATGCTCTAACATGCTGGGCCTGTGCGAGGAGATGCAAGATGATCTCATTGAAGAAATTGCTTGGCGACTTGCTCTCCAATCTGTTCTAGAAGAAGAAGAGCGAGCAAGGATGAGGAAGGAAGTTGTGGAGGATGAGGAAGAAAGTAAAGAAGAGGTAGTTCTTGATCTTTTCCAAGGGGAGAGACCACATTTTGAAGAAGGAAGGGGGGTTGTGGAAGCAATTGGCGTCCAGGCTGAGGATGAAGTTGAGGTGGAAGAGTCTTGCACCGGGCCTATGTTACATTTGATATCTCCACCAAACTTCGAGGAGCTGCTTGGCAAGGACCCATTTGCAGTGTCTCTTTGCCAGACTAAGACCACATCAACATCAATCCCTCTTGGTGGATGCGATGGTGGTCAATCGAATATATCTTATCTGGTTTGGGGCAATGAGACAAGAGCAGACGCGAAGGAGAGGTCTCGAGAGTGGAGACTTCATCTTCCTCAAGGCCACGAGCCGTCTTCATCACCTATCACATCACATGCTCGTGACTTGAGACTCCACCTCGTTAATGAGAACCTCAACTTCAAGGAGGTTTTGGGGTGGACCGAAACTTAGGAGCCACCGTCTGGCTAAGACGTAAAAGAAGCGCTTGTAGGGAAGCAACCCCACCAAGGTTTGTTTTTCTTTCGTTTGTTTTTGTCGGTTTGTCCACTTGGAACTATGGTTTCTATCACCCAGTGTGTTTTGCTGATGCTAGTCCCGCTGACTGGTCCACTTCCAGTCCCCCAGCAGTGTTTCAATCCGGTAACATCGTTCCCCTTATCTCTCCCTCTACTCCATTGAGGGCAATGTCGTGCTTAAGTGTGGGGGGGGGGTGCTTTGTATCGGTTGGAATATATATGTGGGTGCTTGGAGCCTAGTCCGCTGTCCGAATCTTACGATTTGAGGGCTCCAAGTACTACTGTTTGATCATATTGGCACTATGTTTTGATGGATGAATTGATTGGTTTTCGGCTTAATGCATGACAACTTGTTTGCGACTAGGACAACCTATGATGAGGACTGAGATATGCAGTAGAACGATGTAGGGGTTCAGTTTTTCAACTGTTTGCTTGCCAACTGTGACTTGATCTGATTACTTGTTCTTGACAGTCGTTTATGCATCTAGTTCAGGGTATCAGAATGTGAGATA